ATATCGGACAACGATGCCCTCGATGAGGGCTCAAGGACATCATGCCCAAGTTTCACGAAAATAGATATCATTTTAATTTTTAATTCTTATTTAGATTTTTTTATGGAAACCTTGAGCATTTCACTAAGGGTCCGTTTGATTGCAAATGTGGAAAATGGATGGAAAGAAAATGTTTTACAGAGAATTGATTTGCTTAGAAATTGTTTTACTGAGAATTGTAATTAATTGTGTTTGATTGGCATCTGGAAAATGTTGAAATTTTAAATATTTTGGTGTTCGTTTGACTTTATTTTTCTTGAAAATTGTTAATTAAAGAGAATTTTTTTTCCACAATTATGAAAAGAATTTGTTTACATTAAAAAAANTTTATCTTCATCTTAATTTTTTTAAATTAAAAAAAAAAAAAAAGAAGAAGCAAAAGACAGAAACTTGGAAAACTATTTGGTGGGAATTAGTTTTCCTCAAAATCAATGAAAACCGACCGTGTGAAGCAATCCAAGAATTGCAAATTCCAAGAAAACTTTTTGTATCAAACAAGACATTTTGGGTGGAAATGGAAAAGCTTTTCCATTTTTCATGGAAAATGGTCCCAATCAAACAGGTCCTAATAGTTTCTTGGCCCAATATTGGATTATGCCACAGAGCCTAAGTTTTGAAAATTTCTATGGCCCAGTTTATGAAAATGGACACAACTCAATGGTCCGTGAAAATAAAATTGACGCAAATATCTCTAAATTCCTTAAATTACGATTTTATGGCAATTTTAGGAGATGGCATTTTTAGCAACACTTGTTTCACCTCTCACGTTGCCAAGTTCCAATCGGTATGCTTGTGGATCCAATAATAAAAGGTACAATATTACGTTTTCAAATGCACTCGATTACAATATGTATTTCAACTTGTTATGTCAAGATACTTAGAGTTGAGAATTAAAATTCATCATTACAAATATACCGTTGTCAATGACAATCATTTCAAAAACCTCATTTCAAACTCAAATATTTCTAATAGAGAGTATGTACAGTGTTATATTATCATCGATTAATTGAATAGAGAGAAAGTAGAGAGGGGTCCAAAACATACATTACGAAACAACTTAAATATTTGGTGAAATTTTAGGAGCCTACATTTTTAGCAACAATTGTTTCACCTCTCATGTTACCAAGTTCCAATTGGTATGCTTGTGGATCCTATGAAAAAGTTACAATATTACATTTTCGAAAGTACTGAATTACAATGTGGTGTCTTGAAAATTTTAGGAGCCTGTATTTTTAGCAACAATTGTGTCACCTCTCACACTACCAAGTTCCAATTGGTATGCTTGTGGATCATATGAAAAAGTTAAAATATTATATTTTTGAATGTACTGAATTACAATGTGGTATCTCAAAAACTCGTTGTGTGAAAATACTTAAGAGTCAAAAATTAAAATTCTTAAGGAAAATTTATCAATATAAATACATTATTGTCAACGATAATCATTTCAAAAACTTCATCTCAAACTCAATTATGTTGAATAAAGAGTATGTATAGTGTTACATTATCATCGGTTCCTTGGATAGAGAGGAAGATTGAGAGGGGTCAAAACACACATTTACTCAACAAATGAAATATTCGGTGAAATGCCATCATTGAACCTTGAATCCATTGTTTATTTAAAGTATCAAGTTTGTTAAATTCAACATTAGAATCTATCACTTTGAGGAATATAATACAAGTTCTTATTTGATTGCAAGAATTTTAATAAATACTCAAGAGACAAGTACATAAGTAGAGGTGTCATAATGTGATCTAACGGGGACAAGACAACTTGACTGGTGTTGAACACGCTATAAGTTTAATTAATTATTTAATTACCTTATTTTGGTTATACTGAAAAGTTCTATAAACATTTTCTTGCATGATTAAAATGTTTTTTTGTGGAGTTGAAAAATTAATTTTATCTTAAGAGACTATGACTCAATGGAAAATCAGAATCTTTACCAAAATCATCATTAATGCTTAGTCATTTATGCATTATCTTTTTCTAATAATTCAAAATAAAACTAAAAACTGAACGCCGTACTCTGTTTAAAAAAATTAAATAAAGTACTAAAATACAAAGGACATGGGAGAAGAGTGAAACAAAAAAAACTGAAAATAGATTGGGGTGAGAGAGGCTCGAACTCTCGACCTCAGGATTACTCAGAAGCTATGAGACCTACGCGCTAGCCAACTGCGCCACCACCCCTTTTGTTGAACTTTACTTCAAAACATTTTATAATTACAAAACAAGAAAAATATAAAACAAGGTCTTATTTCTAAGCAAAATTTTACTTGGAGGTCGCCAACCTTTATATACATCTAACTAATATTTTTTTTAATCCACATCTAGTTGTCGTCTCTAATTTTCATTCTTTTGTTTTTTTTTATGACTCAGATGTCCAAACTTCATTTGACTAATCTTGAGGAGTGGCGGCCTCCCCCCTGGTCCGCCACCCAAGTTAATTCGAATGCGGTTACAGATTATACATACTTGGACAGGACATTTTGCGGTTCTCCTCCCTGTGGACCTCTGCCTTCCAATATAGATGTTGCCTTCCAACATTTAAATGTTGCATTTCAATATAAACATTGCCTTCCGCTGTCGTGGGGATTCGAACATTCGATACTTCGTAGAGAACTCTCATACTTTACCACTGCATCATGCCCGGGGGGTCTCTAATTTTAATTCTACCTAAGTCCGTCACATGTTGTCAATTCTTTACAATCTACTCACAAAGTTCAAACCAAATAGCTCAAGTGGAGGACACGATGACTACTCGAGGCCTTTATAAGTGTTTTAAGTAGTTGGCAAATTAACACACAATTCATTCAAAATCAGAACGGTAGGTATTCACTATATACATTTTTTTTTTGTGCATAATCAAGGCATCGAATTTCTCTGTGCAAAAAATGCACAAAGTTGAGCCATCGATTGGCTACACATTTCAATGTGTGTGTGTGTGTATATAAAAGAAAAGTAGATAAAATCCAGCTCATAGTTCTACAAGAATGACAGTAGATCACGTTGTTGAGAGGACTGCCAGTTCACGGACTTGTAATTAACTAGAGGATCCTTTAGCTGTCTCCTCGTCCCTAATGCTGGCAACAATGAACAATTTGACTAAGATTTTCAAACAAGAACCGAGTCATTTCCTTGATTTATTATCGATCAGGTATCACATTCACTTTTTGGTATATGCTTGCATAGCTGAAAGAGCGTGAAACTTGCTTAATACTCGATTAACAGTCTAACATGTTTGATCGACTGACTTCAGTACATAATTAACTTTGTTTAACACGCTTTATCTTAGCCGACCAGTGGCGTTTTCATCCATATGTTTTTGCTGTTTGATGATCTGGGTTGGTTTAAAATATAGTTAAAGACTAGGTTTTGATTATAGTTAACTGTTCTGTCAATTTGCTTTAGATGTTAGAACAGTTAGCTGTGTGACATCTAATGATTGGAAGGTTAGGAACATGGGTTCATGTGGATATACTGTTTGATTGGTGCTTAGAAATGAATTATGTTCTCAGTTTTTGTGTACAACACTTTCTCGACTAACCCGATTATTATTTGACTCGACCGAGTGTATGTTTTACTCTTCTTTAAAATTTGCTCTTTATCGATTATTAACAACGTAGGAATAGACGAAGAAACACGAGTAGTGATATATAGTGAAGAAATATAGCCACAAGTGTCAAAATCACAAAATGGAAAACAAATGCATTATGGCCTAATTTTGTTTACCAAGTTTTAGAGTCCTTACGATAATAAAGAATGGAAAATGATAGTTTTGAGGACCCATTTGTCACTTCAATGAGAAATAAGATACTCCCTCCAATGAGGGAGCGTCGGATGTCCATTATAGACACCCTTATGTTAGTGGTGATGTACCACTAGCATCTCTCTTCTTACTGAAAATGGTAGAGACTATTGTTTAAGACATTTTTTTTAAGGATTAAGGACTAAAAAGTAAAAACGGAGGGGAAATTGAAAGAAGAGAACAAAAATTAAGGATAGTTGGCAGGGCTTTTGAATATGTTTGAATATTTATTTAGAAGTGTTTTGTGCAGCTAAAATATTTTTTTAGAGAAAATTGATCTAACATAACTTCCCATCAGTAAATTCATCTACAAGAATCTTAGGCAAAAACAAAAGTCCTGCCAAACGAGCCTAAATGATACAGGTCGACTTTTTGAGTCTTGCAATCGTTCTATTTTTTGCACCCCGGGATAGCTTTCTCCCCTTGCATAGGTTGGTGAGCCCGAAAAAACCGACACACATGTACACTTGTGGGTATGATGTGTAAAATACTTATATATGATGACATCATTAGTGCATTCTTTGATAATATAGATCGTACGTTTAGTTGTTTTCGACCTAGTCGTGCTACATGGGGATGGGTGTACGCTTGGTGCATATGACACCAAGAAAAGTAAAGAAGAATTTAGAAGGAAAAAAAAAATTTGATTGGATGGAATTGGAGCATCTATCAATGTTAACTGTTAAGACAGTGAGGACATAGTCAAGTGCTCTTAGTCTCGCAGCTGTCATTCGGCATACAAACTCAAAAATTCACCCCAACCCCAAAGTTACAGCAAATAAGAGTTTGCAACTGTCGGATCCCTACCTTTCTCTCTCTGCAACTTTCCCATTATTTGTTTCTCTTCAAGAATCCATCAATCAAAGCGTTGAAAAAAAAAAAAAAAAAATCCCATCTCGTTCTCCTCCTCCAGTCCTCCTCCTCCACCACCACCCCCACCACCAGCAGGAGCGCCGCGGGATGGGGTTGGGAGATAGAAGTTGAAGGGGAAAGTGATTAAGAATGGCATAAAATTCGATTATGGGAGGTTTGATGATTTGATTATATAATTTAGATGCTATGGCTTATCAACATTATCGATCACCATTTGGTGACACGACTTTTACTAAGGTTTTTGTTGGAGGGCTTGCCTGGGAAACTCCTACTGATGTAATGCGCAGATATTTTCAACAGTTTGGTGAAATTCTTGAAGCTGTCATCATAACTGATAAGAACACAGGAAAGTCGAAAGGATATGGATTTGTAAGCATATATAATCTTTATTATATTCAACCGTTTGATCATATAGTCGACTCTCAATTTTTTTTAAAAAGTTATTTTTTGAAAATTACAGGTGACATTCAGTGACCCTGAATCAGCAAATAGGGCTTGTGCTGATCCAAATCCTGTCATTGGTGGAAGAAAGGCAAATTGTAATATTGCTTCAATGGGACAGCCTCGACCACCACCACCTAGAGGTACACTTTTTTCTTTTATTTTTGTATTTTAGTCGACTCTGAATTTACCGAGTTTCGTTTCGATAGTCGAACTTGGTTTTTTCATTTGTAGGCAGAAATCAATCGGGAAATCCGTATCATGGAGGTGGAGTAGCACAAGGTGGATCATCATCCTATACGCCATTGCCGACGCCACCGCCTCCTCCGGTCATCTATCCACCTTATGGGTAAGTTCTGCTCGTCGATATTACAATATGGAATATCGTCCATAAGACATTACTGCAGAAAAAGAAAAATATTTTAATAGCTGGCATGCCGTTGGTCTTTGCAGATGACAATAAATAAATTTACTACAGAATTAAGTTAAAATTGTCAGCTACAGATGCGGTTGGTGATTAATTAATTTGGTGTCCATAATTAAATGAATCTGATTATTTCAATTTTCAATTATGTTTACTCTTTCAGGTATGCAGCATATCCACCTGATTTTGGCTATCCTCAGGTTAGCTTTTCTTTTGCATCGACGAAAAATAATTTATATAGTCGATAAACGTGTTTAATAGTAATGTGAATTTTGGTTGGACAGAGTGGGTATAACCCTAATGTTCAACAAGCACAATGCTATCATCAGTTATATGGGGGTTCATCATCGCGAAATCCATACTACGGATTTTCCATGCAAAGGGGAACATTTTCTATGCCCCAGGGTATACAAGGACAGTCTTATTTGTACCATCGTACGCAGACGGAGGGCTCCACTCCAACGTATCCTCCTCCTCCTCGTCTTCCTTTACTACCGTCAACAAGACAATCTTTGTCATCTACTACTGGTAAACATCCTATTACTTATTTCTATTGAAAGTACACTTTTAAATATGTCGTTAGGTTGGGGTAAAATCGGACCAAATCGGTCTTTTTTATTCATTCGATAACATAACATGATATATGTCATGCTAAATCTATCTTTGCAATCATATTTCCCCTTTTTTTAGAGTGAATCCAATCAGAAAATGCTATTCAAATCGTGACGTAGTCTTGGTTGAATTGACTGGTTAATCGAGTTTCATCTCGGTGTTTTTTTAGGATGCAATGTTTTTCGTTTGTAAATGAATAATTTTTTTTGGGTCAATTCTCTATTTTTTTTAGTGCGAGACGAGTCTATTTTCCAACTAGACTAGAAGGTATGAATGATACTTTATGTGTGAGATCTGACCTTAAATCAAGTTAGACAAAATTAAATGAATTTAGGTCTAAATATTTACCTTACTTAATACATGGATCGTTATTACGAAAGTATTACTTTTTGGGTTACGGGTGGGGGTGGGGGTGTTTTGAGGCTATAAAAGATGAACTGTCCAGCGATCGTGGGCTTAGATCGTCCCGACTTGATTCATGAATTGCTCGAGTTTGTATTTAGACAAGCCATGGATCAAGCTGAACTCAGTGTTTTTCACGAGTCAGCTCGTTTTGAAACTTATTTTGTTAATTTCTTAAGAAAAGGAACCAACTCGTGAACTCGTGGACAGTTTGACTCTACCCATGAATCTCACGAACCGAAAGATCGGGTTGAGTCTTAGAACGGTGTGTAACCATGTGATATGAGCTGTTGTTTATATGGGATGACCCATGATGGGTCAATAGGAAGTCATATGCCAGAGAGGCATCAGTGTATCACTTGTGAAGTTTCAGTTTGGTGCAGTGCCTCTTTCTATTAATAAAGATTAATCTACATATTTGGTTAATTTACACTAAGAAATTGGTTATAGATTTTTTTTTTTTTTGACAATTTCTTTTTGTAGACTATTGACTTTTAGCACATTCCTTTGACGTTTTAAACACGATTTTAGATGGATAAAGATTAAAGATGTCATTTCTTGCACTACCTAATGTCCATAGAGTAATGCTATTCATCCCTACTGGGATTGAGCTCCTGGTTTATGTGGCAATTACATGACATTAAATGTTTGATTCATTTAATTGAGTCAAACAGTTAATGTCATGTAATTGTCACACAGACTGTGGCTTAATCCCAATGATGATGAATAACATTATTCATTGTCCATATGTCACTTCACTTTTTAGGATTTTTAATGTTTTCATAAAGTTGGGAAATAGACTATTTTTTTATCATTTAAAATTTGCGATAGGAGTCGTCTTGTAACGAACTACGAACTGTTAGTAAGTCGAATTGGACAAGACAACAAACAAATATTGTATGCATATTCTTTTTTCAATCTTGTTTAATCTTATTCGACCTAGTAACAAAGATGTCCAAACGTGCCTTGGGACTAAAGAAAGAAATAATGTTCGCAATTTACTTAATGTCGTGTTTTGGTGCAGAGAAAAAAAATGTTTATAATTTATAAGTTAACGTGGTGTTGACGTGTTGTTGGTGAAGATTCACAGGCTCCTCCTCGAACCTCAACAGAAACAGAAGCTGGGAATGCTACTTCAGGAAGTACGACTTCTTAAGAAACTCACTGGTGGAGTACTATACATTTCATGGTCAAAACTGTTTATTTGTATAATTTGTTTGCAAATTAATTATATTTGTTCTTCCTCCTCTCAATAATTATTTGCATCAGTTTCTTTATTTAATTTTTTTTTTTTGGTATACTATAGCCATTATGGTGCCCCTTGTCAACTCACTAACGACTTAATTTTCCTGGTAACAATTTGTATTAGTATTTTGCATTTTTATAAAAGTTAATACTCAAAATATTTTTTATTTAACTTCTGTTTGATTTAACTAATTTTTTTATTAAAACTTAATTCAAAATCAACAATTAATTTTAACCTTAAATTTTATTGGATTCAGAATTTTTTAACTATACTAATCTATCAATTTTTATCATAATCTACGAAAAATATGATTTTTAATCAAAACCAAATAGGGGCTTAGAAAACACTTTGTGTGTGCATTATACCTATTGGTAAACAAACACTTTGTTTCGGAGCAATTTTTGTGTGATTTTAATCAAAATTATAGCCGTTATAGTCAACCTGTGAATCCCACCTGTAAGAGGGAAAGTCAAAAACGGTGGCTGATTTGATAGTTAACGGCTAGAGTTTTGATTAAAATTTCTCCCAAACAGGGAGTCTATTTTTGGATCATGTTTATAAACTTTTTATAAACTAACTATTTTTTATCTACACGTATGAGGGGTATTCAAGAAAATATATTTCGAATTAAAATCACCGCAAGTGTACGGTTCGTTAACAAGTAATAAAATTGACTTTTTGAATTTGAGTATCGTCCCACGAAGGTTGATTAGTTTAATTCTTATTATCGCGACCTTAACCGAAACAGTAAAATTGAAGTGTTGTTGTAATGAAATTATAACTAAATTAATCTAATTATGCTAGGATTGATGATTTAACTAAATTGAATGCAAATAATATTGAATGTAATTTGGAGTTTTCGAATGTATGATAATGTATTAGGATCGCGAATCCCTATGTAATATTATTTTCTAAACCTAGTTCTACACTTTGACATACGATTGGAATTTTGAAGAATCAATGCTCCTAATTTATTCAATTTTCTTTCTCGAGTAAAGTTAAAATCATTCCAATATGTGACCCAACTATATGTCTATGATGGATGCGAACATACAAGAATGCATGATTGTTTGTGAACAATTAACGATTTACATAGGGCATAGTATTTCTATATCCTATCGGACCCTATGATAATTTATACTACGTCAAACCTATTTCACTTCTTTCGAATGCATGAAATAAGCCACCATACTCACACAATTACGTATACAATAACTACAGAGAAAAAAAATTCATATAAAATATTCAAATATCCAAACATGCTTTTGATGTCAAGAATTGTAAAACTAAAGTTTAAGAATCATATTATATAAATAATATAGCCTAGCATGATGGAACAAAGAAAATCAGAAAAATCAATGAAGAACGACATCATCAATTCAAGTCTTGACTTTAATTTTCGCTTCTTGGTGTTGTTCTTCGCGTTGTTGCCTTTTTTTGCCTCTCTCAAAACCCTTGTGTATCTCATTCCCTTTGTTGTGGATGACTTTTGGGTTTAAATACACCACCCAAGATTTGTTTCCATAGGTATTTGACTTGAATAAGGAAATTAGAAATTTCACCTCAAAAGTCTACTATGCGACCGCATAGTAGAACAAAATGGCCCTTTTTTTTTCCTGAAATGACAGCATAGTAATAACAATTTACATGTTCTTGCATTTTGGTTCTCAAATTTTGTTTTGCCAATCTTAACCTCTTTTTCCACGTCTTATTCCTCAAAGTGTGATTCCAATGCTCAATTAGTCCTCGACCTCTTCACATTTTTAATTCCTCTTTCGGGTCATCTTTCGATTATTTGTACATTGATCCCTGAACTTTGATTTTCTTGCATTTTAGTCCCCTTTTTCGCTTATTTTTTCGAATTTTCACCACGTTCATCGTTTTTAGCCTACAAAACACAAATTGCACATAATAAAGCTATATTCACATTTACTTTCCACAATAATCCATGTTTTGTGACATATATAAGTGTGTAAAACGCATTTAACAAGGGGTCCGATACTACTTACTTATCTATCACATGTTTCCATCTATTTATAATTTAAATAATTTATAAACACTTCCCAAACATGCTTTAAATAACAAGTTTATAAACATAATTTTGAATCTTTGATATACATAAATGCTATGTGAATTTAGTGATATGCTAAGAAGATTTTGAATGCGTACAACAAATCACCTCTAGAGTTTTGCATCACTCCGGCATTGGACTTAGATCTGCCACTCGAGAAATGATGTGCTTATCCGTAAAGACGAAAGTTTGCCGTGTCTTATTGGCTCAATATTTGACAATTACGTATATGAAAATAATTGTTTTAATAGCAAAAAATAGTCTCAACTACTCAAGCTCTTAATGCGCACTCTATTCCTCATGAATTGTGTTCAATCCTTCGCCAGTTATTTCCTTTCCTCGAATGATAATTAATGCATGTTTGGCTAATTAAGCTCAAAAATTTATTGATAAGGCAATAAGTCAAATGAAAAATAAGTAGTTTTTAAATTAATCTCGATATTAATTTTAGATAAGTAAATTTAATCTGTCTCGCAAATATAAAAATTAGGCACGGCCATATTTGTATAAAAAAATAACTAAAAAAAAAGTCCATAAAAACTTCGAAATTAATTAAGCATACTTGCCAAGAGACGTCCTAACTCGGACGGTACTCCCTCGAAAGTCCTCTTGCTTCATCCTTTGAGAAAATTAATTATCAAATTTATATAAATGAAAAATTCCAGTTGTACATAATAGGTTGACAATCTCTCATATGCGTGCGGGGTCCGCATATTTAAAAAATTCAAAAAAAAAAAAAAAAAAAAAAAAAAAAAAAAAAA